ATTAGTTCAAAAATTTTGGTTTATATTTTGCTAACTTTTGTCAGTTATAACCTGTCTATTATTGACTGACATTTTTTTTCTCAAACATTGCAGCTTGGCTGTCAGTTTCGTCGCCCTACATCCTTGGTCATAACTTGAGACCTAATAGAAAATTGGGTGTTTACAATGGGTGTCGGATAACAAACAAACAAACAAAGTTTGAATTTTTGAATGCCACTATTTACCTGCAACATTTTCCAATTTTATCAATTAAATAAACTCAATTTTCGAGGGTTGAAAGTTTTGATAAATTACAACAATAGTTGACTTTTGAATTGAAATAGTTAGGTAAAAAGTTGCATTTTATAACAAACTAAAGTAAATGCAAGTATCTAGTTTACTAGCAATTCTTAAGGTGGAGCTACATCACAGACATGCACCGCTGTTCCATGTATTTCTATGGGCTTTGAACGAGCTGCTGTGGAAGAAGAGGCGGTGAAAACAGCATAAACTCAACTATGAGATGATTCTGAATGACCAAATTTATAAGCACGTGTAGGGGTAATCTAGTTACACTGTTCAGGAGAGTCTTAATAACTGGCCCAAAGTACAGTTTTCTATCATTGTTTTCCCTGGCAGTTGTTGCCAGGCAGTGTAAATACCCGGATCTCCGCTCCCAGGAATATAGGAAAAATATTAGTAATACTTCTTAGTGAACATGCTGCAAACAGGTTTGGAACAAATTGTTCATTATTTGTTGCTAGGACAATAACAAAATCTAACCACACTTTCTAACCAGTAGGATTACTGCTGTTTCTGACATCATCGTCATCACCTCAACAACCCACAATGCATTGCATGATAGATGAAGTTATGTTATGCATTGCATGATACATGAAGTTCTAACACCCAACTTATATGTACACGTGTATTATTATAATTTATTCTTCTAATAACAGTTATGTTCACTTCATAGCAACCCAACCATTCAGTTGTCCTGACAACCAGTGGTTGTGTCCTGGTACAACACAATGCATAGACAATAATGATGTCTGCAATGGCGTTGAGGAATGCCCACTTGGGCATGATGAAAGTCCAATTTGCAGTAAGTACAATATATATTTTAGACCCCATACTCCAGCATTCTATATTTGAGCACCGTCAGTGTATTATTTGATCACAAGCATGCAATTTTTATTCAAGCACCCACATTAAAATATAGTGGGACTTTCAATACCCAAATTGAGCAGTTCTAATTTCCAGTGCTTGGAGGCAATTTAATTAAGTTATGAAAAAGACACTGCTAGCCAGGGTATTATTCTGGAATGGTTTTGGACATTATATTTGACAATGTTAAAGAACAAAGGAAAAAAAAACTACATGTAATAATAAAACATTACCTGTAAAAAATCAAGAAAGTTGTCTGTCATGTCGCTGACCAATACACTGCTGTTGGTACTGCTCCTACATGTAGGAATTTACACATGAGATGAATGTAGATGATAGCTGTTTTTCTGGTCAGTTTATTTCAACACGTGCCATAAATGTATCATGGAAGTTTGAGCCAGAGATTATATGTCATATTTGTCATACTTTCATCATCTTGATTTTCTATCATTAGAATATTGAAAATGAGAAAAAACAATATTGAGGTCTCAGTTGCATTTTCAGATACAAAATATGGAAAATTATTTTTACACATAAATTCATATCTCAAAATCTCGCTCAATGACATAGAATGAAAAAGTCATCTATTATTATTGATATGAAATATAACAAATATAAAATTATTATTTAAAAAAAAAATTACATATAATTTAGCAAGTTTCCAAGGTGATTAGTTTTCCATCAACTTAATATACAATGGACGATATATCCCATAATGCATTGCATATACATGTAAGTCGTCTATTATTATTGATATAAAATATAACAAATTTAAAATTATTATTTTAAAAAAATTTACATATAATTTAGCAAGTTTCCAAGATGATGAGTTTTCCTTCAGTTTCATATACAATGGAGGTTATATCCCATAATGCATTGCATATACATGTACTAGTATGTGCAGTAACATGCTCAGTAGTGTAAAATTTAGTTATCTCCCACAATGCATTGCATATATGTGCAGTAACATGCCCGGTAGTGTAAAATTTAGTTATCTCCCACAATGCATTGCATATATGTGCAGTAACATGCTCAGTAGTGTAAAATTTGAATTCGGCTCAAACAGCCTTAAATCATTTTGTGAAGTGCATTTAGTTGATACAGAATTAATAAATTCATTCAAGTTTAACATAATTTGAAAACAAAACAAAACATAATTTAAGGAAAAAGTACTTTTTATATTTTTTCCTAGATGATGATAGTTGCATGATCAACAATGGAGGCTGCTCTCATCAGTGTTTGCAGACTCCGTTCGGTGCTGAATGTGTTTGTCTACTTGGACAACAACTTCTGAATGATTCAAAAGTATGCGCAGGTATGTATGAAATATTATGCATGCATAATAAGCTAATTTGCATGATTGTTCTGAGATCTATTCCAGTTTTTTTGCTGACACCAGTGTTTTTGTTGTGAGTTGCTTTTGTCCACTAGATACATTTAGAAGTAAAAATAACAACTATTATTATACATCTGTCACCGTAACGTCGTAAGTTACAGCGTGCACTAAATGGCTGCCACAAGGGTTTGACCGCACAAAGAAGTTTGCTAAATCTGTACTCCCTGTGCTGTCTTCCTGCATACTTTGCAGTATCCTCGTAATAACCTCACAGTAATTTTAGAAATCTTATTTGCTTTATTACTAAATTATTCTTATCATTATCTCATTTGTATATAATTGTAAAATAGGAATATATATTATTTACAATATTACTACTATAAAGAGTAGTGCATATTATTTGCATACTTAGAAATTTTGCATTTCTTTTTATAACTAATTATTCTAGCACCAAAAACAATAGAATTTTCTGTCGTTCTAAAACATTTAGGGGTAAATTGCGCCACCAACATTATTAGACTTTTCTTAAATTAAACAGACGCTGAATTGCTGTAAGAAATAGAATTATATCACTAAATATTTTTTCGTTGCAAATATTGATACATTTTTGATTATATTATTATTTGGCTATTAAGAGGATACCGAAAAGTATTCAATCAGACAGTACGGGAATACATTGACTATGAACCAATCAATGCTCTTGCTTTATTGTATATTTATTATCATCTATTTGCATAAAAATTATATAGTTATCAATTAATGAACATAATTAATAATTTTATTAATATTTTTTTTTTTTTACAATGCCCCCATTCAATTCTCTTTCTAGACATCAATGAGTGTGAACCACCAGGCGCTTGTAGTCAGACTTGTATTGACGAGAAATATTCCTTTAAATGTGAATGTGGAGATGGTTACATGTTAGAGCCGGATAGGCACACATGCAAATCTACAAGTAAGTCTGATCAGGAAGGTTCTTACAGCGGGTGGTGAAATATACTAACCAACAACACTGCTTTCTCTTTATATAATACATTCTCTATCAATCTCGCTTGCAACAATGTAGTATTCTTAGGAACATCTTTGCAAATCAAAAGTCTCATTGTATTTTATAAATGGGGTGCTTGTAGTTGGAATAAAATTTTATTTGGGATTAATCTTTTCATCATGAGTTCCCTCTTTTCATCACAAATTCACGAAATTGTCCCGTTTATAGTCTGTACTTTTCTTGAGAAATAGCAAAATATTTTTGAGTAAAAACTGGAAATTGACCGTTGGCTTTAAAATTAGAGTTCATTTCCAGAAATATTGAAGAATATAAGAAAAATGTGGGCGAGAAAGTCTGGTGGTGAAAAGGTTAAATTGTAACTCACTGATACAGAGTTCAAATGTAGAAAGCCTGTGTCGCATATTTATTGATTGGGACATGTATCATAAACCTCTTAAGTTTTCTCTCAGTATTATTTTTTTGGGAAAAAAAACTGTTAAAACAAAATTCCATCAGAAACCAATTTAATAAATAGAGATTTTCATAGAGATTTGACTTGTCTTGTGCAGAAAGAAGTTTGATGACCGTATATTTTTGTCTGGGCTTTGTTTTAATGGCAGCCAACAGCCTTAATAATGTAAATTTATTATACTGTAAAATATTTTAGCTGAAATAAAATTTTGCTGGAAAGATATTTTGGGTGTTTTGTATGAAATTTAATTTCACTGATTTGTTATGAATTGATTGTAAAATATAGGAAAAAAGGTATATTCCCTGGAATTTATTTTCACTGAATTCACCCCTTAAACAAAAGTAGCGAAAATAGTTTCCAAGCAAAAATATTTTACAGTACTTTGATTCAGATTGAGTTCACAATACTGGTGTACATCTCAAACATAGATATTAAGATTTATCAGTGGATATGCAACCTGTTTATTAGCTTTGCTGTTGATGAAAATCCCTTATACACTGTATTGATACTTGATATATATGTATCTTTAATGGACCTCTCTGAGATTTGTTTGTTTTGTGATGATATTTCAAATTCTCTATTTTCAGTGAATATTTTTGTAATTTTTAGTAACAAATTTTATTTTCGACTTCTGGAAAACTGCAAGTCCTATTGCTGTTATACTTGGTGTCTATATGTACATGTACCTTGAGTAGACTTCTCTTAGATTTATTCATTCCATGATGATTTCTTTAATTCTTTAATTGAAATGTG